ACCGATATGTCTCTCGCCTATTGATCCATCCTTTCTACGAGTGTTGTAACGGATTTCCTATCACTCATCTCAATCGATTTTCTCTCTCAGTCGTTGTTTCCGTTTCCCTGACAACTAAGGCCACCACTAACTGCCGGGAATCCAGCCAAGGGCCCACTTGTGTTGAAGTAAGGGATCTGAAAAGAGCTGATTAGCGTGTAGATCTTCCAGTTTCAGCGAAGTTGGCAAAATCTTCAGGCGATTCTGATAGCTATGTCCAGATTGAAATCGTCAGATTCTTTACTTTTCATGGGTTTTCGGTTCAAGAAGAGAAGAAGAAAGTCATGAGCTACTACTAGGTAGATGACGTCACTTGGTTGTTGACAATATGAGGTGTATTGTTTGGAGCTGTCAAGAAATACATATCAGGTTACCGCTCTATGCCCGCTGCCGCCTTCTGCCTCTCTGCCAAGTCACATGAACTTTTCATACTATCCTATAATTGCTACCATTGTTTCTAAGAAAAAAGGGGATGAAAAAGACTTGGCATTGACCAATCCGGGAGCACGCCATGCATCAAACAAATTGTTATTGTAATTTGTTTTGTTGGGTTATTTAAATAGGATCTCGACAGTCTTGAGAGCTTTCTTGGTGCCCAACCTCGGTTCGACCGCTCGATATCAGACCTAATTTGAGTAGGACAAAGGCCTTGATAGTGTCCAATGCATTTCAAGGCCCATTGTACCGATTTCGTTTGGATATTCGATGTTGTGGGTATTTTTCTGGGTATCTGGCTGTCCACATTATGGGACAGTGGAAAGCATCCGTTTTGACACTCGCCTAATCCATTGACCAGGTTCAAGACTCTGAAAAACCATATAATTTTCGTGACCGATATACAAGTACGGGACACATTTGCGAGAGCAGAGTCTCTGATGGTAAAATCTGTTGGTTTATGGTAGGCAAGACATAAAACAAGAGAGGTTTCAGGAGAGATGGTAAATTCCCATTCAAATAACATTCCTTTCAGGATCGTAGTCGAGTACGTGATGCATTTTGGGGTGCTTTTCAATCATGAAATAAATCGATCTTCAAGCTCTGTGTTTATTTAACAAATCAATGAATTCGAAAGTTCAGTGTTTAGTGCCATCAAACCAGTTGAGTGGCCGATGGAGGCAAGCTAATGATTGTGTCTACGGAAAAGTCTGTTTTGCACAGAAGGATGTTATTGCCATAATAGTAGGAGTAATCAGTTATCTGTCTTCATCAGTATGGTCTCGATGACTCTTTTGAAATTCAAATAAACCAGATTACTCATTTTCGGTAATTCTGGTCTGACATAGGTTAAGTACTCGTTTGCTCCAGTTTACTTAATTTTTTTTGCGCTGAAGTTTTCCTCTGAGTGAAACTACTGGACGTTTCTGTCAACAACGTTCCACAACTTTTTTTGTAATCCCCATTGTTTCACTATTGAAATGAAAAGCTCCTGACGTTCATCATTTCCGTCGTTCGCTTTGGCTATGCAATCGAGTTACAACCAGGGTAAGCTGTGCTCATTGTTTTTTCCCTAGTTCACTGGTTTGTACTGTAAGCTGCTGTGCTACTCAGCGTTGGAATTCTCATCGCCCAACCTGTTACCAGGTCAGACAATTCGATATAAGAGTGCATATTGTACACCGTGGGGATTCAATACGTCGATCGTAGATGCCATGACTATGCCCCTTATAACTGAA